CTACTATAGCGAACATGTATAACTCAAATCTGAAGGTTCAAATTAAACAGTGACGTCTGTAAACAGACCACCCCACATCCGACGTCTTGATTTTGACGTTCACAAAAAAATCCCCAATGTAAAATATGTGCAAATGTTCTGCTTAATACCGGTTTTGAAGATCAGTGTTCTGATTGCTTTGGCTGAGAGAGGATATTCTCTCTGTGATGAGGTCTGTATGATGGGTCAGCGCTCTCTCTGTGGGGAGGAATTAAATTAAAACCTCTGAATAAAGAGCAGGGAGGGAGCGTTTGATCTGCGGCCATTAGGAGACGCGGGGAGGGAATAACGTTGAAAGATAATGCATGATTGCTACGGATGTCGCCGTTTTATAAACACAGAAAACACAAAGCAACATAACAGGCGCAAGGGGGGAAATGCTAAATATAATCGGAGTTCATCTAGCGTCATCTGGCCTCCTCTAATCCTCCAAGGCAGTCATTACATCGCTACATAAACCAGCCATAAGCCTGCTCCATAATTCCATGCCATAAAGAGAATCTGAGTGCGGAAAGTGTTGCTTTCATCCTGAACTGTCATAAAGCACTCAGAATGAACTCATGAATCTTTTTGTACATCTTTTTTGCAAGTCAAATATTATTTTATGCCTTTTTTTCCAGCTGCACACTAGATTTTAAGTTTGAACCTTATTTTCTGACAGAGATTTACATGATAAACATGGTAGCTTCTAATATATTAGGAATTGTTCGTCTTTAGTGAACATTACATAGTGTACATTACATATTGTCTACAGCAGTGGTCCAGTACCGGCTTGCGGATTAATTGGTATGAGTCCACAAAGGAAATCATTCATTATTTTCCTGTTATTTATTATCTGAGTTGGAAGGATCTTTTATTTTGAAAAATAGTTTATTTTGGGAAAATTACAATATTCTCTTGGTTACATCTCAGTGTCACAATTTATCACAAATGCTAGCAAACTGAGTATTTTGCAAGTTAAATATTACTTTAGGCCTTTTTTCCCAGCTGCAAACTAGATTTGGATCAAATTTGAACCATATTTTCTGATAGGCATTAACATGATAAACATGGTGGCTCTTAGTATTTTAGGAATTATCGAACTTTAGTAAACATTACATAGTGTTCATTGCACACTGTCTACAGCAGTGATCCCCAACAACCAGGCCGCGGACCAGTACCAGTTTTGTGGATCAATTGGTACTGGTCCTCACAAGAAATCATTAGTTCTTTTGGTTTTATTTATTAATTATCTGAGGCTGAACGATCTTTTAATTTGAAAAAACTCTTATTTTGAAATATGACTGTATTCTCTTGGTTACAACTCGGTCACTTCGCCAATTTAACCCACAAGCTAGTAAACTGAGTAAGAAAAAGACGTCTTTGGAAAGTTTCTTTGCGAAAGGGTAAATGCCCAGTGATGGACCCGCAAACTGCCAAGGATTGGAGCCGCAGCCCATTTATCAACAAATCAGGTAAATCCAGCATGTCTGTGCAAGAAGATCAACTGCTGGAGATCGCAAATGATGGCGGCCTCAAGGCTGGTTTATACTTCTGCGTTGAATGATCATAACATTTCTGAAATGCTAGCTGGTGGTAGGTTATGTTCATCTGTGTCGAGTTTCTTTGTAGGAATTTAGTTTTTTTCTGAATGCTACAAGTAGCTCATTCTGAGGCAGGAACTGGCAGATATAAGACACCTTTAATCATAAAGGTAAACACAAAACAAAAGTTTGCATCTGGAGCTCCTTCATGGGACTCGACACACTTTATGGAGCTCGTGGCTCTCAGCACCGCCTACACTCTTGAGTCAGCGCCAGTGGTGGCGAGGGCTATGCGACTGCGCGAATTCTGTGCCGAAGCATACATGTGCGCTTGACAGAAGTATAAATCAGACTTTAGGGGCGGTTCACATATTGCGTCTTTTCTGCGGGCAAGTTTGTTATTTCCAAAGGAGGCGTGTAGCTTGCGCACACATATTTGGAGCTCTTTCCAGGCGCACAATTGAAAATTTCTCTTTTTAGAATGCCGTGAGCCACGTGACAAGAACCGACTGATCCGCTTCATACATTTGTGTATGATTTAGCTTCATAGAATATACACATTTCACAAACACAGAACACCCCAACAATGCAGTGCTTTTTCATTTTCTCCATGAATAAAACTTGTGTCAGGGCTGCAGTAATGTTTTGTTTTGTCTGCTTGTCATTCTCTGAGAAAACTGTTGATGCTCGCCTAGCAATCTATAAAGTTGAAGTCATAATTATTAGGCCCCCCTTCATTTTTTTTCTTTTTTTAAATATTTCTCAAATTATGTTTAACAGATCAAGGAAATATTCACAGTATTTTTGGTGATATTTTTTCTTCTGGAAAAAATCTTATTTGTTTTATTTTGGCTAGAATAAAAGAAGTTTTTAAATAAATAAAAAATTTAGGGTCAAAATTAATAGCCCCTTTAAACATTTTTTTTTCTCGATAGTCTACAAAACAAACCATCATTATACAATAACTTGCCTAATTACCCTAATCAGCCTAGTTAACCTAATTAACCTAGTTAAGCCTTTAAATGTCACTTTAAGCTGTATAGAAGTGTCTTGAAAAATATCTAGTCAAATATTATTTACTGTCATCATGGCAAAGATAAAATAAATCAGTTATTAGAAATTAGTTATTTAAACTATTATGTTTAGAAATGTTTTGAAAAAAAGCTGCTCTCTGTTAAACGGAAATTGGGGGGGAAAATAACAGGGGGCTAATAAGTCTGACTTCAACTGTACATACATACATACCCCCCCCCCCCCCCTTCTAAGCCATGGGAAATTTTTCAAGCTTTGACCAGTCCACAGTGATAAAACCTTTGGGTACCATTGACCTACAGCTCAACAGCAAGGGGAAATTGTTCAAATAATGTTTCTTATTAAATATTTGTTTAAAATAACAATAAAATGACCCATAACAGAAACCTAAAATGTTTTTTTAAATCAATTCATTGTATGACTAACTAATTTTTAAACGAAAATCCCATTTACATCTAGCAATCTTAACCAAAAAGTAATAATAAAATTGCAGATTATTAAATATTATTTTAAATTCATATTTTGTCAAATGTAAAGGTTTAAATCAATTAAACAGACATCATGCACAATATGTTAAACTTTGCACATTGATAAAAGAGCAACTGATTAATTCATGATCACAATGGTTGTCAAAGTTTTTAGATAGAATCTGAATTACTTAAAAAATACAAATAAGTTCATACTTCAAAATAAATAAATAGACAAACAAACAATCAATTTTACAAACACATTCTGAAATATCTGGAAATCTAAACCAAATGCTATGTAGAAATAGCAAACTATTAAATATTACTTCAACTTCATATTTTTGTTAGTTCTAAATAAATTAAATAGACATTATGTACAATACACTGAACTTCCCGCATTGTTTAAAGAGCAATTGATTAATTAATCACAATTAGATCACAATGGTTGTCAAAGATTTCAAAATAAATAAACAAACAAAGTCAATTTAAAGTCACATCCTGTTCTGTTTACATTATTAACAACTAAAAAAATTAGTTAAGACAAAGACTAGTCTTCGTTTTGTTTCATTGGTTTCTCAGTTCATGCACAAAAAGATAAAGACAAGAACAAAATCTAAATCTTCAATGAGAAGGAAGAAATAAAACAATGCTTTATTACTCTGATTTCCAAGACGTGTGTTGCAAGCACACCAAGTGACAATACTGCTTATCACTGTAAAAAAAAAAAAAAAAACATATATATATATGCAGGATTTTCTGGCACAAGCTTTCCCCATAGGCATGCGGCATCACCAAGGCCGGGGTCCCTTCGCCTGGGCGTTTTGTTATGAGGGAGGAGGGGGTGCATGAACACTCATATGTGAACAACTCAAGAGGAGCCTTTTGTTGCAGTACACGTGTCTGCAGGGCCACCCTCCCCTACTCAGCCTGACAGGCGGCTCGAAAACTGTCAGCCCGGATCAGTCGCCCTTGCCTGGATCTCAACCCAAATTATAATCAAAAGCTCAGTCGCCCAGCAATGCCAATGCAAGATCAAGCAAAACCGATCCAGGGATCTGAAAGCCCAGGATATCGGCACCAATGATCCAACACTACGCTAATGGCCTACTAATCGAAAGTGTTGAAATGCTAAATGGAGACACCTCTGGCCGTCTCCTGGCATCACAGTGAAAACCATTTCTGAAAATGCAGACAGAAAGCGTAATACAGTTACAAGAATATCCATGCATGTTTAGACTAATCATTCATGCAGCTATCTAAATATATAAATGATATCACAGATGTAAAAAAGCAGCATGAGAATGAAGTATGAGAATCAAGATAGTGTTCGTCCACGAGACATCCTGGAAAGATGGTATCATGGAAATATAGACCTACAAATTGAATCTCGCAAGTTAAAGATCTCTTAAAATTATAATCTAGCCATACATAATCTGCAAAAATGTTCAATGGGTGGATTCTGTACCAACAGTTTTCAGACCAAATCTCTTTCACTTCATTGTGACAGATAAAGAACTCATGACGGTAATTGAAATAACGATGGCGAACAGAAATTGTGTACCTCTCTGAAAGCATTAATCAAAGGGCCGAGCTGTGTTTAATGTTACGAACTGCCATCAAGGTCGGAATCGCAACTGAGACTGACACAAGAGTCACAATCCTTCACGCCATACTGTCTTCGGCACACAGACCATTGTCGAACAATACACAAACGCCACAACCTAGCTCAAATATTGTTCAAAATTTGACTTCTTGGCCGAAGAGGTCCAAAACTGTTTGGAATTGGGCAACTTAGGACTAGAAGACTGATTCCAAAGGAACATCATTCATAATGGTCAATTTTTTCAGAGAATGTCATTTCTAATGCTCAATCATAACTGACAAGGCCACAGTGTTACATCGAAGCATATGCCAAAATTATTATTTAAAATATGTTTACCTTCACAGAGCTCCTAATCGACGGCCACCAGTATCGACGTTCGGAAAGGACTGAAATTAAAAACCACAGAGGGAAAATGATTTCTCTAGCGATCGCTCGCTCAGCCCCAATGGAACAACCTCGTTTGATTGGTCCTGGGATGAGGTCATGTGGGTGAGGCGCTGGCCACGTGACTTCTCATCGGATACAATGCGCAAAGGGAAAAAAAACGCCTAAATCCAAATTTCACTGCAGCAAGTCCCTTGTTTGTCGACAGCATTATCTCTGCTTGGGCTGAGGTAAAGGTTTTTGAGGCTAGAAAAGTCCCACTTTGCACAGCCAGCTGCCCCAGGGGTATTGGGGGTGGAATCAGGACCCAAGACTCCAGCCGTCTGGGTATCTCCATTGGGTGACACATCAACGAAGCTGTACCCTCCACTGTACATGCCCATTCCTGCAGTCTGGTCCAACCAAGGGTGTCTGGTCACCATCTGTAGACTCTTACATCAGTTACCGCTGTCATTAAACTGAATATTTGTCTGTTTTGACATTTACGCTTCAACCTTCGTATGCTTCCATGCCCCTTCTACCTAAACCCTCACCCCACCCTGTCCTCATTTTTTCAGAGCTAAAAGACGCATGGCATGAACAATAAAAAGGCGATGGCCTGAAAATCAAGCGGTTTAAGCTGGGTGAGGGGTGGCTTTCGATCAGCATCAAAATATCTGACAGTCGTTGTGTCTACCAGCCTTTTTAATCCGGTAGAGTGAGGAATTATGGGGAGCTCTGCTGGCACAATCTGGATTATGAACCTTTGGCTAATTCTCTTCAGTTGAGCAGAATACACATTAATTATGATTCAGCAAGGTTAAATACATGTGTAAACTCATTTATAGGGAAAAGAGGTTAAAAGTGGTTTTAAAAGCCATTTAAAAAAAGTAAGAAAACGATTGAGCTTCTAGGTACTCATGAGGTTAAGTTCAACCAGGAAGAACTTAACATGAAGGCACTGAAGGTAACGAAAATCCTAATTCCAAAAGACAAATGTGCAAACATTCAAAAAGAGGAAGAAACTTCAAGTGATTTCTCCAGAGAAGTGTAAAACCGAAGTCATACATCCTAAGATACACATTTGTACACTGTCAACACTGGACACAAACAGAGCAACAGAACTCATAACCACAGATTCCTTCAAGTCTAGATAAGACGCAATGGATGCAACAAATCTCCAACAGTAAACCGATGCCATTTCTGATGTATGCCAAGCACTTTTTCTGACAAAAGGTTTTTGAAACTTCATTTAGTCAACGTCTAGCTGTTGTGAGACAAGCTACAACGATCGCATCTGGTCTAGACAATGTTAGTGCAGCTCATCTAGTATTCTTACCAGTTAGAGGGAAGTTTTCAAGGTTGAGCAAGGACCACAGATGGAAGACACTAGGCACAATAAGAGCAACATGAATATCCCTGGTACTATAAGTAAGCTCGACCAATGCCCAGAGCAAGGTCAAAAGGCGGGGTGGGGTGTGAGGCACAGTTGAGTTGGTTGGGAACATCGTACAATCATCAATTGAGCAAGCTAATAGGCCATGACGAGCATGAAGGATACAAAGATTCAAGAGAGAAAGGGTGAAGGGCAACTGATCTCCAAAAACAGAAATGACACTTGAACTGAACATTAAATCAGTCTCTTGTTCTTCAAAGCCCTCTTCTGCCATACATCCGACAGAGCTGCCATGCTCTGCAGAAGCATTTCCTGGATTGATCAGTTTAACTCTGTCTGTAAGCCCTAATTGAGCCACAAGCCTCAGGGTTTAATTAAGAAGCTCATTACTGACTGCCTGACACGTGCTGAACTGGCTCAGTGTCTTTGCTTTGAGAGCCCTCAAAAATCTATAAATCGCTGAGCATAAAGAGAACGTGCAAATGCCCATACAAGCACAGCTCGAAGAGAAGCTTCTTGTTTTATGCACTCAAACAAATCTCTTTCCACTCAGATCTTCCAAAAGAGTTTCTCAGGATGTTCTTAGTGATAATGAGGGTTCATTTTTATATTGGGAAAAAGAAAGATTGAATGCTCAAAATGCTTGAGGTCGATGTGAGAATGGTTCATTTCAAAGAGGAAGTTTTCTGCTTCAGACACGTTCCCCCAAAGGTCTGGAGGAATTCTGTAGTTAAGTGTATCCCTTGGCCATAGCATCACACACGCAGGCTGAGGGTAAGTGGAAAATTCTGTTGCCTCGGGTCTCAGTCACAACGCAGCAGACAGGCTTTTGTCCCTGCTCTAAAAGCTTTTACGCCACTGCTCTCATCCAGGCCTAGCTAGAGTGGGTAATGGAAATTTTCGCCTGACCCTCCATTTGGTTGCAGCAAGAGCTTTCAATAATGGGACACCCCTGCAGCCAAAACCAATAGCTTGTGACATCAATTTCAAATGGAACTTTCAGGCCGAAACTGTCACCTTTATGGTGCATAAACAACCTTGTTAATTTACAGAGCTAAAAGATGCCAGGAAATCTACAAAAACAATACAATGCGAAAAGGAGATACACTCTCCGATACAGCAGAACACAGTGTTAAACGAACAGTTTAACATTTCGTTCCAAACCTGTATGACTTACAGAACACAAAAGGTAAAATCTTTTCTATTCTCATTCTCAAAACAAGTCTAACGAGAATGCAGACTTGGGCTGCACGATTAATCGAAAAACTATTGTGATCTCAATTCGAATTAAATTATATTTTCAAGTTCAGGAGAGAAGCGAAAAAACCATCACTCAAGTCTTCATATTGTTTTAAATATGTTGCTCAGGAACGTTTATAAGGTGCAATTCACCCAAAAATGTCATTTCTGTCTTCATGTAACAACTTATTCAGAGCTGCGAAATCACATGTGAGCTGACCAAAATTTTAATTTAAAAATTTAGAGTCATGATTACGATAATAATTTGATACACTGTAAAACCCCAAAAGTTAAAGTAACTCAAACTATTTGAGGAAAACGATTGAAACAAACTGTTTAAGTTCAAAAATTAATCCTAATGAGTACTGTGAACATAATCCAAGTAAACGAAGCCATTAGAGCACAGTAAAACCCAATAAATGAAGAGAACTCAAATCAACTGAGTACTGTAAAAGCCAATAAGTTAAGGCAACTCAAACCGTTTAAGGAAACCGATTGCTACAAACCATTTGAGTTGAAATTTTAATCTATATAAGTACTGTGAACTTACATTTAAGTTGAAGTAATGAGGTATCTAATTAACTCATTACCTTCAACACTGAGTTCAAAACGCTTTTCAAATGAGTAGAATTAACTTTCAGTCAATTTTAAGTTAACTACACTCATTTCATTTGAAGAAGTTGACTGTTGGGTTTTACGTGGGAGTGTTGAGCGTAAAAATCTATGTTTAACAGCGTCAATCTAACTGATCTAGAATTTGGAATTGACTGCAAGATGGAATCTTATGACAAATGTCTCATTTTACCAGAGGAAAAAAAATGGTCTAATAATGTTGTCAATAACAGATTGCAAGCTTATGATCAATCTTAATAATTAAATTTCAGAATTATCAATAGTTGTATAATTAATAGTTGTATTGTGATGTAATTACTTTACCTTGCATAACGACCAGAACAAACTTGAATTTTATTCAAGTCCGCACCGTTTCAAGTCTATACAACATTTAGCACTTTAACCAACAGTAGACCTACACATACAGTGCTCAGCATATATAATTACCCCCCTCACAAATCTATTTTTTCAATTCATATTTTAAAAGGAAGATGCATAAAATATTATATTTGTGTATATACATTAGATTAGTCAATACTGAAGTCAAATCTGACTAAACAACGTATGATAACGATCTAAAAACTAGTACACCCAAATTTAAACGTTTTAGAAAAATAATAAATACAAGTTTTTAAAAAGAGGATAAATCAAGAGAAGCAAAAAAAAAAAAAATTTACAATTTAGTTGAAATTTCGTAGGTTGTAATCTTCTTTTGCAATATTTTGCTTGAATTTAATTGTATTATCTTTTCATTTCTAAATGCGCTTGGTGACTAAAATATTATTTTAATAAATATATCTGTTTAATAAATCAGTTTGTTTAAATGGACCAAAATGCATTGCCTATATTCACTGAGAAATTGATAAAAATAATCATTTTCAAAATGAGGTTCACTCAATCAAGCTAAGCAATGTAGGCCTAATATTATTATTGTTTTTACCTATGTTTGAAAAATGATAATAACCTACTCTTATTAGCCTTTATTTTATCTATAGAATCATGAGAAAAATCAATCGAATACACTGTGATCTACAGTACATTTTAAGCAAAAAAAAAAAAAAAACATATATATGATTTTTATTTTAGCCAGAACTGTGCAGCCCTAATGCAGACTACAAAACAGCGCCACATTTGAGAGCTACAGCCAAAGTCAAGATTTAATTTCTTTATTTACGTGTCTATAAAGGCTACTGCATGGCTTCAGAAGACTTGGAATATAGTGTCACATGAACCACTTTTATGATAATTTAATGATGATTTTTGTCATTTTGGAGCGTTCTCACTTTCATTATGAGGGGCAATAGCTGATGAAAGCAGACGAAAAAGCCTTTCAAAGCATGTAGATTGGAGTGACATGAGTGTACAAAAATGGCAACAGAATTTTTCTGTTCAGGAAAACTATTCTTTTAAAAGATTATTTCATTTGTCAAGTGCAAAACATCAAAGCCTCAGAGCTCAGAGAGAGACGTTTCTTATAAAACATTTTGTTTATGAATACTTTCTTTTCGCTAAGTGGATATGAACATATGAATACTTTCTTTTCATTAAGTGGATATGAACATTACAAAAACTTATTTCACATAGCCCTTAAATAAACCTTTAAGTTTAAATTTAATAAAGTAACAACATTTTTTATCCCACCAGGGGCAATTAAATTAGGGCAGTAGCATTACATGATACAACAAACACATAAAGAGACAAATCACTTACAAACAATTGCCTCAGGAACAATTGTGAATATATATCTGTTAGAAGAGCATTTGATGCTTCTAAACCTTCTCCAGA